TTAACCCGCTATTCATGCATTAAGAAGCTCCGTAGAATCGTTGCCTATTGTTTAAGATTTCGTACATCCAACAAGTTTAAAGGTCCTCTTACCGTTGAGGAAATTCGCGACGCCGACGAGCGAATTATTAAAATGGTCCAGTCTTCATCGTTCGCGCAAGAGATAAAGGATCTACAAAACGGGTCAAAACTGCAATCTATTAGTAAATTATTGCCACTACAACCTTTCATCGATGGAAAGGGAATATTACGGGTTGGTGGTCGACTACAGAACGCAGCAATTCCATTCGACGAAAAGCATCCGATACTGCTTCCGAAAAATCATCCCATCACAGTTTTAATTATTCGCAACGCGCATTTGGAAGGACACCATCTAGGCATCAATTCCACGTTATACAATATTCGACAGCGTTACTGGCTCATCGACGGCAAAAACACCGTACGGAAGATTGTCCGTCAGTGCGTCAGGTGCTTCCGTATTAACCCTCCGGTAACGAAATATATTATGGGCAATCTACCTGCTACGCGCATTTCGGAAAGCAGGCCCTTTACTAATTGCGGCATCGACTACTGCGGTCCGTTTTTCATAAAGGAGCGACGCGTGCGAAACCGCTCCCGTATTAAAATCTATGTCGCGGTATTTATTTGTTTCGCAACCAAGGCCGTGCACCTTGAGGTGGTCAGTGACATGACCACGGAAGCTTTTATTGCCGCATTCAAAAGATTCATCGCGCGAAGAGGAATATGTCGAAATGTCTATTCGGACAACGGGACAAATTTCGTAGGGGCGAATAAAGAGTTACTGGACATACAACGAAAACTTCAAGAGGACGAAAAGGTTCGGCATTTTTTGGTGGATAAGCGAATTTCATGGCATTTCATGCCAGCCTTGTCACCGAACTTTGGAGGTTTATGGGAGGCCGCCGTTAAATCTTTTAAACATCACCTGAAACGCGTCGTCGGTGAGGAATTGTTTACGTTTGAACAATTCAACACGTTTGTCATTGAGATCGAGGCTATCCTTAACTCTCGTCCTCTCGTTCCGCTATCCTCTGACCCTAACGATCCCTCAGCCTTAACCCCTGCCCATTTTCTGATTGGTAATTCTTTAACGAGTTTGCCCGAGGTTGATTTTAGCGAAACACCATCGAATCGTCTATCAAAATGGCAACACATTCAGAAGGTGAAGCAGGATTTCTGGTCCAGGTGGTATAAAGAGTATATACACCAATTAAACGTGCGCCAAAAGTGGACCAGAGGCTCGCACGAGATCAAGGAGGGATCCCTTGTTGTCATGAAGGACGATCATCTACCACCGCTCCAGTGGCATCTCGGTCGTGTGGAGAAGATTCATCCCGGTCAGGACAACATCATCAGGGCAGTCACCGTTCGGACTTCCCATGGCAGCTACAGGAGGAACGTGCAGAAGTTGGCTCAGCTTCCGATAGCTGACTCTGAGGAATGCGTCACGGCATCGTAGCATTTCTCGTTTTATATCGTTTTATTGTATTCTTCATTTATCTTATTTCGTGTTTTTTTTTATTAGTTATTCAGCGTGATTTAGATTTAGTATTTTTCGATTAGTTAATGTATTTTGATCGGCAAGGCTCTCAAGGGGGGGAGCATGTTCCGAACGTGCTACGGAACACAATACGCGAGGATTTCGTAGGTAGTTTATGATGGGTCCGGGTAACAGTTATTTTTGAAAGACAGATTTTTAGCCATCGACGGCAATTTAGTTTTACATTTTTTCGAACAATGCCTTTAGAATTTCTAAGTTTCATTTAGTCTTCAATAACTACTCCGTCATAAACAGGGTTTTTCCCGAAGGGTCACCGAGGATGGGCCTCGGTTCCGTCCTAGCGGTACTTTTTAGGACAACGTGCGTGTCACCTGGAGGGAAAAACCCCGGCGTTGCCGGCCTTCGAGATCCTCCCGTACTCATCGGTATATTAGTCATCCGAGTCGGACTAAAAAGAATCTCAAGATAAGTCACCTAAATCGGACTTAGAAATTTCACGAGTCATTCGCGACGGACTTATCAATTTCACGAGTCCACCGTTTAGGACGTCTTCGAGTCAACCGTTCGGACTCATATTCAATTATTATTCAACGGATTAATTTCTGTTGAATAAACGTGCGCGAGTCAGCACATATTACATTTGATGATACCGTGTCAATTTATATATCTACATGTATACCTATTCCTACCGGGACCGGTCAAATGACCGGTCTTTAGCACGACTTATATTTTTTAATATAGGATGAAAATAATAACCAATTTAATAATATAGAAATATAGTTTCTTTTATTTAGAAGTATATACTATGTACTTTATTCGTTTTCACCACATTTTTTGTAAATAGTCCTCTCGATCGTACATTTTCCACATACATACTATTTACATTTCAGACAAATTTTGTTGGTTTTATTATTTTTGCAATATCTAATTTGACATGTTTTACGTTTTTCTGCACTGTCATTTTCAATATCAAAAATTTCCTGATCATTTTCGGAACACTCTTCATCAATATCATTTATTTTCTCTAATAATGAATTTACATTCTTCGAATTTGACATTTTGGGGATGAATATTCAACTGATAAAATAAAAACTAAAATGTATAAATGTAAATCCAAATACATGAAAAAATGAATAAAAGATAAAATGTGAAACTTACGGCGAAGTACTGATGATTTTGTCTAGTTTTTTAGAAATGACACTTATAACACATAAAACAACACTTATAACAACATAAAATACAGGTAGAATAATAATAGAATAGAAATACAATATAATAAAAAACTGACTGAATATACTTCTTGTAACTTTAACGTACTGATGTTCTATGTTCGGGTCGCAAGAGTTTACTGATTTCAATTCATCAAAAAACGTTTGGGCGTCCTCTTCGGCTAAGATTTTATTTATTTTATAATCATAGTAAATGAGACAGTATTAGAAAATCCTAAGTTCTTGACTGCGTCGAATACCAATCAGGCAAATAAATACCGCGAGACCGATAGGTGAGCGAAAACTATAAACACTTGAAAGGGCCGTAAAGCAATCCCTGCAAGGCACTTTTAGGATAACATCATGCTAAAACTGCATTACCTTTCGTTTGTAACGTATTTATAAGTTCGGAATTAAGCCTCTGAGAGAATGCTATTACAAAAAGGTATAAATCGTTCTACCGGTCAAATGACTGGATGTGGTAGCTAAGACAGACTACTAATTTTTCTCAGAAAATAAACAATAAAAAAAGAAGTAAATATTGAAAAAAGTATTGAGGGATCGGTTTGTTCGAGGGTCGTCGGGTACGATCGGGCGAGCGGGCGATTCGGACAATTGGCGCCAAGAGGATTCGGCGTTACCAGGATTTGGCGCGGAAAATTAGCGGAAGAATAAAAGATTGCAAGGCATTTGTTTCTTTTTACACGGGAATCGGGAAGGAATAAGGAAAACGGCGTGACGTCGCGAGGCAGTCGTGTGGTAACGGTTGAAGTAGTAAGTTGTCCGGAAAAGTCGTTGTATAATTGTCTGTAGTTGATTTTGTATTCTTGTTAAGTTATTAAAACTATTTTATTATTGTTATTCTCAAAAAACAGTAATCCGTCATCCTCGATAATTTCGATCCTACAGTATTATATGCATGTTTCAGGAAAAGTCATGAAGTTTAAAGCCGTTTCAATTACATTCTATACAGGAAATTCTAATCGAAATTTTGAAAACGGTCATTTGACCGGTCGCGGTAGGAATAGTGATAATAAGGAAAAAAGCGACAAAAGAAACAGCAAGCGGGTAACAGTCGATCGGTCAAAACCGTTACCTATGTACCTTAGAACGCGTCGACCTTCCACGAGCGCATGCATGTTGTCAAAATGACAAAGGCGAGTAACGATCAGTGGACGTTTGACAACAAATTGGCGCCCAACGTGGGGCCGCAAAAGGGAAAATTCGCAGTAAAGGACGCTAGGAAAATTTACCGGACGCTAGAAAAATTAACAATCGTTAAGAAAGGATCGCGAGAAAGTACCGAAAATTTTGTTAAAGTATTTTTCCGATCATTGTCGTAAGAAGTACCGTTAGCCACGCATTTCGCCGATTTCCGATACAAAGGAATTCTTCCAAATTCCTAAACACGTTTTTTTTTGTACACCCTAGAATCAACTGTCTTTGGTTCTCGGCCAAGTCTTGAAAGACAGAAAAAGTGTCGGGGACAATAACATCGTAAACGTTCACAGAGGAAATGTGAAGTACTTAGCTTTTGACTTTGGCAGTGTAACCATTATTTGATTTTGAAGAGATTACTGAATGTAAACACGCGACTAGAATATAAGAAAAATACACTTTATTTAATTACATGTTCAAAATGTATGCCGCCTTCCATCACGTAATATTCCGGTCTTTTACTTCACATTTCCACTTTTGTAAATCGAGTAATATGTTAATAAAAATATCATGTAATATGTGTTTTGAATTCGTCTCGATGTCCTCTAAACCTATGAATAAAAAAAAAATGTACGTTCCTATTTAAAAAACCCAAGGTGACCTTGACTTTGCCAAGAGAACAAACTGTTTTCAAAATTTGCTTTACTAATATCTATTCTGCACTTCATACCTTGCAAATATTGTTTTAAACTTTTTTTCGTAAGGTGCAAGTAGGAGAAAAGCTTGTGTAGCGTTATATGGCTGCAAGTAGGAGAAAAATCGTGAGTAGCGTTACAGGTAACACCCTGTATAGTAACGAAACCTCCTACGTTTAACACAAGTAACGGAATTTGAAAATTTGTTTTTGTTATATTAAATTATATTTAAATTATAATGCAATCAATTGTATATGCGATATGCAATATAATCTTATATTATATAAGATATACTACGTGAGTGTTATAACACAGAGTGTCCAAACGTGTAACAATACAAGATATGGCGATATAATGCGTGGGCGTTATAACTCAAAAGAATATAACGCGTCGCTATACATATACGTGAAAGTATAACACATGATTATATGACATATGGTGCTATTGCATAGAATAATAAAATAGTAAAATAGGTCAGGTACTACATATGTAGGCAGCCAGGAAATTGTCCGCTTAAATAGAACAGCAGGATTCGTAGAAACTCGTTTGAGAGATGCAAAATTGAAGGATGGAAATAGAACATACGCAAGAAAATGGGTCTTCTCAGAGGTGAAAGGTTATTTCACCTTTCATCCGGGTCATGATGTACTATGACCTTTTGCAGTCATACTATGCAGTTTCTGCAATATACATATAGAGAAGTTATAGTAAAAATGCATTTTGTTATGAATTTTCTTTAAAATTTAATGGGATACAATCAATAGTATCTAAACGGCAGTAAAATTTTAAAGAAGAAGCAGAAATAATTGCATCTGAAATAATATTTAATGGTTATTACATACCGTATTAAAAATGCTTTTGCCAGGGATACGTAACATAAAAATGCTATTTTAAATTTTCTTACCAAAAATGTAAAACAATAAGAAAGAAATATAGAAGAATATCATACATGCTTTGAACAAAACGGAGGTGATTTTTGTGGTTATGGTCAAATTTCAGAAATAAAGATTTAAGATAAAGACAAATTGCAATTTTTTAAAGACAAAAATTGTATTTAATAATTGGAAAGAAAAATATTGCTTTTTTATTTTTAGGGCAAATATTAATTTTTCTCTTACTCCATATTTTTATGCTAAATATATATTTACATTCGCTTGAATAACAAAAGGTGTTTACTATAATATGTAATAAGCTACAGAAAATATATATTAATTAATGAAGTATGTACTGATCAATAGAAAACAATTGAGTTATATCAACATGATAAGAATTATCAATATACTATCTTTTTCAGTGCCATCTAAATATAACTACAATCGACACTAATTTTGATATACAACTCTCATAAATTTAACAAATGAACTAGAATTGCAAAACGATGTATTTTAGATAATCGCAAGATAACATATTAAGTTCAATTTATCAGCGAAATTTGATTATAAAATATTTGTTTTGGAAACCGCTAATTATTTTATTGATTTATCGCACATTATAGACTGTAAATAGAAACTGAATCTTGAGTTAATATGAACTTTGATTCCCCACTATTCTATTTCGATGCCGATGTGCGACGTCGAAGAAAGCAACGGAACCGACAAACAGGCATCACCGAAACAGAGATTAATGAAATGGATCCAGTCGAAACTTCCGGATTTGTAGATTAACAATTTCATTATCGATTGGAACGATGGTCGTGCTGTTGGTGCCCTGGTAGATGCTGTTGTCCCGGGTCTTTGCCCAGACTGTCAAGACTGGAACTCAAATGATGCGACACAAAATGCTTCCGAAGCAATGGGACTTGCCGATGATTGGCTCAATATACCACAGGTTTCTATACTTTTTCTATGTTATCTATTAATCTACACATTTAGTACTATCTATTATTATGTAAAGTAAC